GGGGGGGGGGGGGGGGTATAGAGAGGGTGAATCAGCGTGATTTACATTCCTTCGTCTCGACAACATAAAAATTCCTCTACGATAACTTTCTTTGTTCGTCCCTCTTTTTTCACTGCGGTGTTGTAGTAGTATGTATATGCGTATTGCGGACCCTGCGGGATGTTGGTATATGCGCGCTCTGATGTTGCGGCTACTGTATATACTTCTTCCGAGTTTATATTACATTTTTAAGCTCTGATTAAAGGTGATCTTCGTGGAGTTCCAGTACACGTATAAAAGAGCAACACTCTTCAGGTCTGGTAGTAGTACAATGTGGGTTATAAGATACTTTTACGCAGAAAAATGTATTTATGGAAATTGTTGAGTTTTTGAGGTTTTCCGAGATATAATTCTCAAGGAAGAAGAATTGTATAAATTTAATTAAAAATTACGTTGGTAAACTTATATTGAACGATACATGTAAAGGCTGTATAGGGAAATTCTCACACAATCTCTGTCGATTGCGGATCAAAGGGCAGCAAAAGTGCAGGACTTGAGAATATCACGATACATTCACCCTTGGAGCACACATGATGCAAAAAGATATGTATGCGTAGAATAGAAACTGGGCTGGACCTCGATAAATTTCTATCGTGGGTGATTCAAAGAACCAGTCAAAAGGTGGATCTACATTGAACTAAGAGAAGAGTATATATGTACTATATGTACATAGCGAGAGTGAATGTGTGTTGGGTGCTCTTTGCAGACCACTGGTCACGGCAAAAAAGGAAGAAGACGTGTTTGGGGATACGATATACGCGAGTAGGATGCGTAGGAAGTATGTGAGTGAGTTAGGAAACAGCGCGCGGCGCGCGGTAGAGTTGCAAAAAGCAAACGCAGGGGTGAATACAGTAGTAATGGCATTTCTACAATCTGGAGAATTGATTCCTAATACCCAGGTGGTGTGTTTATTGCATTTGCGGAAAGAGAGAGAGAGAGAGAGAGAGTAGTGAAAAATAAAATCTGAAAAAACCTGCCATGTTTCACTCATTTGCATTTAAATAGTGATTTTATATATTTGATCCCAGAGTCATGTTTGACTGAATGAGTTTGTACTACTGAAAATGCTACGTATTTTAACGGCTCTGTAAATTAATTATGTTCCTTCTTGACGAATGCGTTTGAAACGAGTCTCTTCAATTTCTCTGATATAAATGAGTAAATTAGGATTTTGAGCTTAAAAGGACTCGCTAAAGAGGACAGCATGAAAATACAAGATGTAAATAGTACGCAGTACACAGAAACTGAAAGAACTTTTGGTATCGTTTGAGTACGCGGGAGTTACAAACGCGTCACGACCATGGCAATCTATGTATACAATAAGTAAAGAGAGATCCTTGAAACTGGCTGCGAGAAAGAGAAAGAAAGAGAAAGAGAGCGAGCCAAAAAGCTGAAAATGATAGGAGGGTAGTAGTCGTAGTCATAGTCGTAGTAGAAGTAGTGGAAAAGCCAGTATATTTGCGTTAGGTTACGTAGTTGTGCGTTTAATCAGCCGTACGGAGAAAGAAAGCGGAGAAGGAAAAAGACAAGAGAAGGAGGAGACGGCATCGAGAATAAGGAGAAAATTCGACGTTTCGTGCGCGAACGTTTGAAGAAGAACGAAAGGGGGAGAAAAGATAGCGAAGAAAACACATAGGGCAGAGACCTTTAGAGGCAAGTTTATTGCGACAAGAGTAGAATGATAGAGGAACACATAGATTGCTGCACACACAGACTGTTTTGCAAGGGAATGTTTTTCTCGCGGACTTTTTACCAAAGTCCAGTCGTCGCCCACGAGAGTTTTGCGAACTCTTAAAAGAGAAAAAGGATTTCTCATATGAATGTCCTTTGCTTTTCTTCATGCTTCACCGTCTTTTTAGGCTAGTAGTTCGCTACTTCAATGGCTGCTATAGCTTGTTTTTCTCTTTCTTTTTTTCAATTGCTGGCATCTACCGCTGTCGTTGCTCTTATTAACAGAGTTGGTAACGTTGAGCGAGATAATGTGTGTTTGTGTGTGTGTACAAGTGAGTACTATGTTAGCTTAAAGTAAAATTCAAGTAGCCCAACTGGCTTGTACTACCACCCTTTACTGCAAGCCTTTGTCCCAGTAATTCTTGTGTATTGTATAACATACTTTTAAACTCTTAATCTCTCGAAATTAATGGAATTATTTAGTTTGTACAAAAATTAACCTTAAAAAAATTTTTATTTGTGTTTCAAAAGGTTATCTCTCTAATCGTGAATAATTTTTTATAGTTTGCCGTTACGAATTTTCAATTTTAACTGAAAAAGAATGCAGTCAGCTTAATAATGAAAAAGGAGCAATATTTATCGAGTGATTGACTAATTCATCGCGATATTTTTTTTTTATCGTCGAAATAAAATTTTTTTCGGAAAGTTCGTACCCACCGTACTCCAATGTTCATCAAGAATAATAAATGATGGAGATCGTATGTTACATATACATATGTAGGTACTCGATACTCAAGTGCAGACAAGTGCGCCTTGGAGGCGTCGATGCTGTGACAGATTGCCCCCAGTATTTTCCACCACATACATCATCGGCACTAACCGCAACCTTTAGTTCTACTTCGATACCCTAAGTTATCAACTTTGCCTAATTGACACCGAATCTATTGCCTTCAGATCGACTTTGCTGTGCAGGATATAATATTATATATACCAGGCTCCAACGAGATTAGCATTTTTGATATTGTGTTTCGTATAATGAAAGCTAAGCAGGATTATCGCCTTGGTGAGACTGACTCGAAAAATATTCTGATGCTTATAAATACCTGCACAACCACATTGATACCCTTGAATCTCGAATCCACAAAGTGTCTGCTTTTTCTAACGTTAAAATGCTGATTTGAAGCTCCATCAGCGGTATTTCACTCATTGGTTGTCTGGATATAGTATATTTCTCAACGAATGCAGCTATGGTTTTTTTTAGCAAAATGAGGAATTATAGCACGAACTGAAAACGAGTGCTGTAACGAATTTTGTTAAAAAGCCATATCTGCACCAGTTGATGATACTATTTTTTCCTAAGAGAGTCTAAAATTAGCTGCAAAATTGCGTATTTTAAGTTACAGTGGGGAAAAATCATATTTTAAGCACAGAAGTGTTAAAAACACAGTGTTAAAAACACACAGTGTTAAAAAAGCGTCTTTGATTACTATTGTACAGTAAATTGCCTCGTTTTCGAACGTTATATCATATTTTTATAAAAGTTTTTTTCGATTACTATTGCATAAAATTTTGTATGCAAAACGTGCCCAACTTTTTGCGCTCAGTGGGCCCTAAAACAACCCAAAAACGCTTTTTGGGTTCTTGTTTCATAAATAACTATTGATGCAATTTTTTACGATTTTTTTTAAAGCATTGGAATATTCAAATATCGAAAGAAATGCAGAACTCTTTGGACTATTGAAAAGTACCTTTGGGAATTTTTCCAGATATTCCATAAGTTAAAAATAACTTCAGAATCGGTATCGAAAAAAAACCAACATCCATATGGATTGTGGCACTTACGTGCGATATTGGGGTGTAGAATCTCAACTTTTGGATTTGTTTTCTATGTATTACATCAGTGAACAGGAGACACACTTGCGCGCACCAAACCATGAAAATCATAACGGTAACAGAAAATAAGGTACGAGTGCCGTGCCACAACTGTCGGTTTCGTTTAATATGACTATGCGTGTGCCATATTCTGATGATAAAATAGAAAATTAATTTATTAACTATCATTTTAACTACCATACAATAATTACCGCACGATATACTAAAACATTTTGACCCATTATGAAGCGAGTTGCAGATGCTTTTCAACGAATCAGATGACGAATAAAACGACTTCACATGATTTTTTTAAAATAAGAGGATAGAAGGATGAGTATATTATGCATGGGCTATGAATATATTTTTTCCGTAAAACGAAGCCTTCACCTTCATGACGAGATTTATTGAAAAAACATATTCATACAAGTTGCATACAATATTTTATAAATAATTATAAATATCTCCGATTGCATTGAGGCTGAACTTATAAGAATGCATAATATTCATATTAAGGAAAAAAACAAATACGTTTAACGTTAGAAATATGAAATTAAAA